AGCAAAACCATAAAGCATAAAGCAAAAGCAAGACACTTTCTTACAAACATGAGAATAAAGAATAAACAATTGAAAAACAATTTCATGCTATCCATGTGAAAAACACAAAACTCAAGTGCTCATTATTTTATATCGGGAGAATTTCATATATGCTCTTATTAAACATCAAAATATCATATTTACCCAATTTAATTTCTAAATATCATATTTACCCTTCATAAAATTTCTAAATATCATATTTACCATTCATAAAATTTCAAAATATCATATATGTCATTTTTAAACATCAAAATATCATATATATATATATATATATATATATATATATATATATATATCCTTCTTAAATATCAAAATATCGTATATGTCCTTGTTAAACATCAAAATGTCAATGGTAATATCTAAAATACTATCTATCTACAACATGATAATAATCAGCAACAACAAAAATTAAACAATCAAAATATACTTTCAATATAGAGGGTTGAAGATGAATCTTTTTATTTGTCAAGAAGACGACATTCCAACAATTTAGAAGTTCACATTCTATTATCATAGACGTAAGGATAATACGGTTAAAATTTTTAATTAATATAAAAATTCTAAGGTATAAAAATGATTATAAGTTATTAAAAACATTATTAAAAAAGGATTTGGGCAAATATGATATTTTGAAAGTTTATAAAGAGTAAATATGATTGAGAAATTAAGTTGGGAAAATATGATTTTTTGAGGTTTAAGAGGGGCATATATGAAATTATCCCTTTTATTTAACTAGTTAGTTACATTTTAAGTTTATGATTACTCAAAGTGACTAAATATTTATAAATAACTTAAATAATTATACAATATGATAATTCATTAGTTTTATTCTCTTTAATGTTATTTCCTACAAACAATAATTCTCAATATGTTGGTAAAATATTATTTTGCAAAATAATGTTTTCCAATTAAATACAAGTGTTGATATTTATTAATAATCAAAAAAATTACTCAAATAAATAATTAATTATTGCTAACTTGTTATAAAGAATGATCATATAGGATCATATGTTATTAGCAATATCATTTTATAATGATTATTAGATATACAAGATCTTTCGGTATAATTTAATGGTTCTCTAGCTTCGTACAAAGAGCAACTTGTGGCAAATGATCATAGCCAACAACCCAACATTTACTGCAAGGAGATATTTAGTCTGATGGTCGAACTTAACAGCATTCGGATAACACTTAATCTTGTTGTCTCTCACAACTTGTGTAACATCCCAAAAATACAGGCCAAAAATTTCATTTTTAAATACGTCATTATAAAACCAACAGTGTAATAAAACATTTGTAATATCATGCCATGTCAAATCCAAAGTAGAAATAATTAAACATGTTATCATAAAACAATATCAAAGTGTAATCCCAAAGATCTCATGTGCGGAAAACCATAGTGCGATGCGCTGCGATCAAGCCGGCTCCTTTCCTTTAGACACGAAGTACCTGAAACCAAAACTGAAAACCGTAAGCACGAAGCTTAGTGAGTTCCCCCATCATATCGCATACCATACAATCACATAACATACATATACTATCAGGCATATCTGGGTGCCCGACCTACCCCTTCGGTCCTTTCAACCGGATATTGCCTAGCATATCTGGGTGCTGGCATCCCCTTCGGTCCTCTCGACCGGATACTGCCTAGCATATCTGGGTGTTGGCCTCCCTTTCGGTCCGGTCGACCGGATACTACCTAGCATATTTGGGTGCTGGCCTCCCCTTCGGTCCTGTCGACCGGATACTGCCTAGCATATATGGGTGCTGGCCTCCCCTTCAGTCCTGTCGACCGGATACTGGGGACTATTTCACCCCTCTACTACTACCACATAACATGTATTACATAATCATATTCTATCTAGCATGAGTGGGTATGACTACCCCTTCGGACCTGTCGATCGGTGATCTTGGGGACTATCTCCCCTACAGCTACTAGCATATACATATCATATTAGCACATAACATATCAGGTAATAGCAAGCCTAGATGATATCACAAAGACAATCATCTAACATACGACTCCTACTGGTGGGCCGGCATTGTGGCCTTAGACCCACCGCTACTGGAAGGTAACTCACCTCACACTGCTGAATTCCCGTAGACACAATCCCACACTTGTTGAAGTCCCGCAGACTCGATCCCAGCTACTGGCTGACAGATTCCCGAACTGTCAACACCAAAATAACACCCAATTAATAATTGGGTCCCAATACATAACCATAAACACTTACTTTGGATAATTACATTACCCCAAGCTTGGCTTATTCAAACCCAAGGCCCAATTCGTAGGCCCAAAGTCAACTATGAGTTAAAGCCCATCATATGGCCCAATTTTCCAAATTGTGCCCAAGCCTATACATGGTCTTATTCTAAGGCCCAACATTATACAATCATTAAGGCCCAACTATGGCCCATCTATGGCCTAGTTTTCCAAAATGGGCCCAAATAAACACCCACACACACATACTTTCTTGAAACTGATCCTTCCATCGATCTAGCGGCGTACGGCGGCATATTGTGATGACAGCCACCATGGCCAATTGCCATGGTGGTTCTCCATGACCCAACTCGACAGGACTTCCCCCACAGCGCACTCACGTCGCTCACAAGCCTTGAACTAAACCATCACTCACCGGTGATAACAGGAAATGCCATGAGTCCCTCCACCCACAAGGTGGCCAACGACAAGATGAATAGAAGAAGAAGAACAATAGCATCGATTTAGAACAGTTACAACGGTTGTGGCGGTTGATTGGTAACCTCATCAATGACAGTGGCACCGGAGGAAAGCGAGATTACGACCTCGTTGATCATTACACCCACCGGCGGCGATAGTTGAGGTTGCTTGGCAGTTGGCTCGCAACTCCGACCATGGCTACGAGGCAGTCGATCGGTATTTGGCATGCTTCGGGTTCGTCGGCACTCTTCAGGGGGAAAACATCTCTGGTGGCACACCATTCGGTCGACGGGAGGTGTAGCGGCGTCGGCTAAGGGGTCATAAGGATGGCAGCCGGTGAAGAAACGATTAGGTTTAGGGTTCAAAATGGGTGACGGGTTTATATACCCGGTCCCCTTAGCTACTTTCCATAATACCATCTTTAGGCCCTCCATTCCCTTTTCTTTCAAAATAAACCCCCATAGTTACCATTTAAACCCTTAACTCGAAAACCCCTTTCAAATTAAGTCCCATCTTTTACCAAAAAATCCCCATCTTCTAAAATCTTTACAATTAGCTCCTCGAGACCATCCTTTCATACATAATTATTTATTTTAGGACTACCATTTATTCATTAATTTATTTATTTAACTAATAAATAAACGGGTGTTACAACTTGATGTGAAGACTATCTATATGTAACAACTAGTTTTCTTTCGATATCTCTCGGTACCTGATCATGTCTGTCTTCTACGACTTTCCCTATACGACCTTAAATAGGCTCCTAGAGCATGGTTTAATCAATTTGCTCAGTATTTATCTCGTCTTGGCATTACTAACAACAAATGTGATTCTTCTCTTTTTATATTTAGGCAAGGTGCTCGCACAACATATGTTCTCTTGTATGTTGACAATAGTATATTCACAGCTTCCTTGACCTCTTGAGATAGATTGTTGCTATTTGCAACAAGTTTTCCATGATCGAACTCAAGGATCATTCTCGACATTGTTGTCACTAGGGACAAAAGGGCATGTTTTTATCTCAATAGAAATACGCCACAAACGTGCATGTACTCCTGCCGATGCATTAGCCAAATTTGATGGCTTAGGTTGTACGTCGTACATCATAGGTCATACGCCACACGTTGTGTCTCTGATCTAATTCTATATAGAAGTCTTTATGGTGCATTGTAGTGCCTCATGTTTACCATACCTCACGTATGTGGTACATCTAAGATGCTTATTTAGAGTATTGTATCCGACCTTGTGCTATGCAACCCTTTTTGTACTGTAAATTGAATGCATGACGGTTTAATGAGATGATTCTATTCGGGAGAAATATTTCAAATAACACAAAGCAGTCTACGATTTTGAAACTTTATAAATATTCGGTTGATTGCATTATCGCAATTGAATTACTGATAACTAAGATTACCCTAAACCAAGGGGATGGCAAAGGTGGTCACGGTGATGGTGCCAGGAGACGAATATATCAAGAGCTTAATCAGATTCTTAAATTGTTGAGAGAAATTCTCTTTACGTTTCAAGATGTTCTGATGACATCAGATGGCTGAGGGCAGCATTCAATGATTAAGCAACAGTTCTAAATCTTTAAGCAAAAAAAATTCTATAGCCCATTAAGGAAAGCATAGAAAATAGTGGACACAAACACAAACATGTATGAACAGATGACAACAAACCGAAATATCGAATGTGCTTGCCTATAAGGTAGAATTTCTAGGTAGCATCAGATTCTAAAATTGCTTCCCCTAGTCAAAAATTACAACACATCGCTATCAATTTATTTATGCAACGAAATTAAAAGTTTTTTGCTTTTATTAATTTAATAGTTATGCTTTACTTTGCTTTATAAGATTTTCAGTAAAAATATAACTTTGTTGCATAATTAAGTCACTACTCAAGGATAAAATTTGTTCATATCAAGTAAATAAAAATACATTGAAACTCGTTCTCAAAACTATATTACCCTCTTGGTCTTTTACGCTTCAACCATACCACTAAATTACCATATTACCCTCTTACATGCACTTCAACCACCACTAAATTACTTGACCTTGGTTTACCATGTTTCACTATCCCATCATTATCCTTGGTTTACCATGACTTAATATAACCTTTATCATATTAAGTCATGTCTTCATTAAGTCAAGGTAAAAAAAGAGATAGCAGCTTTCTTTTACAAAGAATGAGATGAATAATAATGAAGTGCCAATGGTAGGTTATCGTACAATTTCTTTTCTCAGTATATACAAAAAAAAAAAAAAAAAAAAAAAAAAAAACATCTTTTCTTTCATAGTCATTGACAAATGACAAACTTTAAACAGACAAAATACCGGATCTGTCCTCAGGACTACCTTCTCGAGTTGCAGTTTGACTCCCTCTTCTCGAAGTCCGTTTTGTAGCAACAACTTGAAAATCATCTTCATCATCAAGTTCCATTGATATATCAATATCTGCACTTTTGAAAACTGGATGAATATAAGCATCCTTGAGGTACCCTTTCAGATCCAGGTGTGGTTCTGTTGCCTTTTCTAGTGTATCCTTGATCATCGCATCCTGTAATCAAGTTATTTGTTGTAAAACATAAAGGTCACTTAATTTTGTCTTTCCACATGTCTATCAATAGTATTAGCCTCTTTTTCCTTTTATTCATATTAATGTTTGATTATGTGTTTTCCCAAACAATCAAAGTCAAAAAGATTTCTAACCTGTAAAGGGAATTTTCTGAATGCAGATTCAAATCGGTTTTTACAAAACCTATGAAACCAGAAGGTTAAAACCGGAAGTACAAGAAGAAAAGGTGTTGAATTTGCAGCCTCTTTTGTGCTCAACAATCCCATCAACAACAACTGTGAAATCATCAAACCAATAATAATACGCCTGTGAACATCTGGCCAAAACGATGCTGCACTCTCATACTTCTGGTTATACACATTGATAATCTAACACCACATAACAAAAAAAAAAAATCCACAATTCATTACTCACAGATTCAAACTTTAAATTGTGTTTCAGATATAAGCAAAATCAAGTTACCTGATGACGAAAAACCATATAAGCAAAAGCGAAGAAGACGATGATGAATGGAAGGAGTATAGGAGTGATGGTTGAGTACACGAGTCCAAGCAAGAAGTACAACTGTAATCGAGGCTCAGTTACAGGCCAAAGCAATGAACCAGGATCCATGGCTTCCTCTCTGTCCTTTTCTGTTTTCACCAAGAACACGTTCTTTAAATGATAGATAACCAATGGAACAAGTCTCAGAATCTCAGCAGCAATTCCAGCCCAACCATCGACCATGATGTAAGTGATAAAGAATGTTGCTTTCATTGGAATAGACACGCCGACAGTTTCTGGAATCCTAAATTGAGTAGTAGAAATGTCAAAATCATGTTGATTATGTTTAGAGGGATGAAATTTTTTGAAGAATGAAAGATTACTGGGATGGCGACTGATCCAAGAACTCTTTGAGTTGCTGAAGCGCGGTTCCAGTTATGATGCTTCCGAGAAACACGTTGACGAGCAAAAAGAGATGAAATTTTCCTGCTGATCTCGCTTCCAAAGCTGAGATTGCTGTGAGGCCTTCTATTTTAGACATTTCCATTAGAATCATGGGAAGAACGATGAGAAAAATCTTCAACACGATTCCGGGAAGAAACCCTTGAATCACAGACTTAACGGAATCTCTGTGACAGAGACAAAAAAATAAAATAAACTCAAATCAAGGATCGATTTTGATGAAAAACGATTTTAATCTTAGAAAGCTCTCGCTTACTTCTGGATAATTGGTTTCAGAAAGGGTAAAACTTTCTCGATTGATTCGATGTTGGCCAAAGTTTGAACAATGGCGATAGGGATCATGAAACAGAAAGTAAGACCAAACAGAGCAACAGCCATGATTAATCTTCGAACATTGAGTTCGACAAATGGTATCGAAAGATTGTCCCAGTACACATCGCGTGGCTCCGGAGCCCAATCCGTGAGCCAACGAGTCGGATTCCTGATTTGTTGTGTTTGAGCACAAACGGCTGCACCCCATCGCGATTTGAACGAAACAAACGCAGCTGGAACTACAGCTTTCGGGTCACCAATCACCCGTTCTCGTTCTGCTAATTCCTAGTTTATCAAATCATCGGATATAACAAATTCAGGTCAAAACAAATTCAGGTCAAGAAAGAGTAAATTCCAATTCGTGTTCACGTACTTCTTTCGCTAGCTTCTCGATTTCTTCTGTATAGTAATCAATCGCATCGATAGTCTTTCCCCAAAGTCCCCAAAAACCTGTCTATACAGATAACGAAAATGGAATTATATTCAAACTTATAAAAACAAATTAAAGACGAACAATTTGTAGTCACAAACCTTAGTGGTTGGCCTTTTATTACTTCTTTCGTACTTATTTGAGTAGTAAGTAAGCCGATTATGCAAATCCTTACTCTTCTCCACCATTTTTGCAAGCTTATTTGCATTGTACACCACCTACGATCCAAGAAATAGATATTTACATTGAATCTACATACTAACTCAAGAGAAATTTTTCAGAATTGAACAAATTGTTCATTGGACTTGAAAAATCTTTATTAAAACCATAGAAGTTGATCTTCATACTCAAATGTAAGTACATTTCTGCAAATTGCTAAAACTCAAACTCTAATCTCTTGAAAAGTGAGTGAAAAGTAGATTGATAGTTATTGCAGTTTACCCTTTTAAATGTTCTTCAAGAAAAAAACTAACCTTATGTACAAGATATTGATCGGGATGATTAACAATGAAGAAATGCTCAACATGTTCACTAACAGTTTCATCTGGATCCGGGGGGACATTTCTCACAAGAACCTACACATAAAACAAAAATTATAAAAAAAATAAATAAATAAAACGCTATTTTTTTTTCAAGAAAACATAAATTGAGTTCACAACTCAAAAACTTACAGTATATTGATCTGGACGACGATTTTCAGAAGCAAGAAAATGCAACCTCATGTTAGTTACGATTTTATATTCTTTATAAAGAATATAACATGTCCAAAACGTGAACACATACGCCATTGCTATATGCACAATTAACCTGATACACATGTCAACAATCCTTCAAATGATTAAACTCACAGAATGTGTACACAACAAATAGTTCGATGATGGGTTTCAACCTTAAACCCTTAAGCTATAAACCCAAAAAAATATTCATACCTTTTTGATGCAGGAGGGACATTGGATATTGAAAACTTGTCTATCTCACCAAAAGTTATATCTTTCATATTAGTGGTTATATCCTTGAAATTTCCAGCTGTATAATTAACAGGTAACAGAACACCAAAAGCAAGTATAGCAATAGGAACAAATATCTTCAAACTGCATAGAATTATAATTATCGATACTAATAAGTGAAAAGAAAAAGAATGAAGTTTCGATCAAACAGGGTCAAGAAAATTACTAACCCTAGAAGATAGATTCGAATGTAGACAGCAGAATCAAGGCCAGCATGATCAATAAGCTCAGGTTCTGGCATTCTTAATGCAGCAGGAACCCAATTTAAGAATCTTAAATACATTCTAAAATCAAGATTGACAAATTTCTTTACAAGAGGTCCTGAAGTACTTGGATTTTCTCTTATGCCTTTGATATACCATTTTGGGAAGTAAACTCGATCATTCACTGGTTGCAGGCGTAAGATAGCAAATGCCACAAGAAATAGTAGGGCGGATAGACTGTTAATGGCAGCAGACACTGTAATATCTGATACAGTTGCCATTTTCTTTCTTGAAGATCAATTGCTACCTACATTTGAACAAATAGCATTCGTCAATCTAAGATTCGATTGGAAAATCAAAGAAACAGATCATGGTATATAGAGAATACAGAACCAATAGCATAATTTCAAAAGATTATAACATACCCATGTATCGAACACAAGAAGAAAGCACAAAAATCCAATGTTTATTGGTTTCCTCAACGATATTTCGTTGGGTTTAATCTTAATCTTAGTATATTAAATCATGCCCATAAATTGGATTGTAAACATTAACCAAAGGTCAGGTTCTTGTTTCTTAAAACCAAACCAAGAGTCCCAAAATAATTTCTTTCCAGGACATGTTCAAGTATCAATTGCATTGAGCATATCGATACACATAGAAAATGAAAATCGACTGTATGACCCCAAAACATTCCACCATATACGCATCAATCAAATCACAAGAAATTCCTCAAATCAAAATTTAAAATCAATCTGATTACCAAAAAACAGAGAGAATAAAACTCCAAGTAATCGCTAAAAACACATGTGCTACATGCATCAGAAACTCAAAATTGATCCAGGGTTTATTAGTATCAAAAGCAAGATTTTTGGGTTTCCGAATAATCAGAATCTTGAAGGACGAAAGATCAAGAGTTCAGAGTTCACTTTACCTTTTTTATCGGAAATAAAACAGAATGTATCTAATAATAATAATAAACAGAGTTTCTTGGAGTTGATTTGTTTCGGGTTGGGGTGAAAGACGGAGCACGGAGGAGGAAGGGCGGCAGCAACCGGCAACAAGCGTGAAACACAACGAGTGTGCCACGAAGTCGATGTTAGCTTAAACCGTTGCGTAGAATATAGAAATACAGAGATTTTTGAAATTCCCTATGTCCCATTTATTTATTAACAATTATTATTATTATTTTAACCAATACTATAATAGTCGGTTTGACATTGTTTTTTTTATTCATCTGTAATTTTAAATTTATATTTAAATTCTTATAATTGTTTTACATGTATTTCTTTGGTCAACATGTTTGTTATTATTTTTTAAGTGTCACGTTTGTATTAAAAAAAAAATTATAGTTAGTTTTAATATTTATAATCTTTAATCTCTAAATTATTATTAAAAGATAACCATTAATTCACCAATGAAACAATTATAGCCATTGATTGTGTTTCAATCATATATTTTTCACCCTTACATTGAATTGCTACATCATCTTTCCCAAATAAAATTACATTTAATTATAAAATTTTTATTAATTATAAATTTTTTAAATTCAACAATTATTTTATCAATTGAAACATATCATTCTATTTATATAAATAATATCGATTTCCCTAATTAATATTGTTCCTAATTTAACTCTCTTATTTATAGATTTTGGTTTCAAAATTTAAAACTGTTTTTTTTTTTTTTGGAAAAACTCATTAAATAAGCATATCAATAGTTTTTTTGTTAACATATAAATTGTAATCTAATCCCATTAAATCAGCAAAATATTTAAAAGTCAATATTATTAATAAATTATCTCCCAGTATATCTCACATAAAATGATTATTTGAGATAATTGTTTGAATTTTAAAACTCATTAAATAAATAAGTCAATTAATTTGAAGTTTTGAACTAATATAACTGATATCTTTCTTTTTTTCCGGATGTATAGGCGAAAATCTCCAACATGATATCTTAAAATCCCAGTTTTTTTAGAAGATAATGATTTCCTTATTAAAAAACATTTTATATACATGATTACATTAAAGTTGTTATTCTTATGATTTTGGATTGAGTCCTACATTTACATTGTTCTTCTTCAACGACCTTATTCTCCAATTCTTTTTTTCAGTTCTTTCTTAACTTTGTTCTCCTTGTTCTTCTCCAATTTCTTGCATTTACTATGTTGTTATTACCTATTATTATTGTGTTCTTGTTGAGAGGTCATGAAAAAGTTAATCAATCTACTTTAAGCATATTAGTTTAATTCATTTAGTTACAGAAAGTAAATTATATCATTTATATCGATTTTTTTTAATGTGTTGACCTATGTTTATATAGAGAAAGTCATAAAAGTCGTTTTAATGCATGATGACGAATTTCATGGAACGGACCAAAAGCAAAATAAAAAAGTTTTTTTATTGTTACACTTCAATTTGCATGAACAAAGACATATCTTTTGATCCAAGGTTTTCAATTACTCTTTTATACATATTATTATAATCTTCGATTAAATTTTCTAATTTTATATTATTGAATTTGTTTATATCAATGGTTTTAGTTTCAAAATCACCATTAGAGTACCAGACTTTATCAATGTGGTGTCACTTATGTTATTTAATCGTGAAATAAATAAACTTTTGGAAAAAACCGCACAAGAGTTGCTTCAAAAGCTTAATAAGGTTATGGATATATTAACTTCATTTACAAAAACTAATTTTTACTTTTTCATTTTGTTTTTTTTTTTTGAGTTTTTAGGAGGTTAATATGAAGATTTACTTTGAATTTACTTTTGGATAAAAAATTGGTGTTCAAAATTCAAATCTAACATTATAATTTGAAGAACAAAGTTGATGGTTATGCAATCTCAAACTGCAATGTTAATAATACAATCATTATTGAATTGGAAAAAAAAAATAACATCGAACAGGTAACATTCTTTTACAAAAAAAAATACTACAAACACTACACTTATTAAATTTTGTTTTTTATATTTTAATTAATCAACTAATATATTTCTATCTACTACAAATATAGGCGCCAGAATCCGATTCATTTAACGTTTTATCGATATAATTCAGATCTCAAGACACATTAAATTTAAAGGTTTTTATTATAATATAACTAAATCTAATATTTTAAATATTCTAAAATATTATTAACTTTTAGATTGACACATGAACTTATTTTCTATATTTAGGATGTTGTTTCGTTTATTGGTGATAACATCACACCCACTTCGAATTTTGATAAACGTACTGCAACAGTCCACTAACTAAATGATCATCTTTTAAAAAAAGTGTGTAGACATGAAGAATTAAAATACAACCTAGAAGATGTTTACAATTTTGATAATTTGGCAATAATGTCCTCAATCAAACGATCATCAACATCAATGACAAATCATACTTCTTGAGAGGGCAAGCCAAAATTGTTAATTCCAAATAAAGAAAAATAATTTGTTGATTTCATATTATGTTTACATACTATTTGGTTTTTAGGTTTGTTTTTTGATAATTTTGTTTCATACTATTCGATTGTGGGTTAGAATTTTGATCATTTGTATACATTGTAGGTTTTATGAAATATTTAATTATTTATCTATTTTCCTTTTGGGTTTAAACTCAAATGAATTTAGAATTTTAATCATTTTTTACTCTATTATTCCGTTTGAATGTGAATTTGTCAACATTATTACAATGTTATTCATTACAACTTCAATATAAATATTAGAAAACTACAATTTTTTATGAAATTATAAACTTTTATATCTTTTAATCTTCCTAAAACAATTATTTGTAATTCTTTGTGGATTTGTTGATAAATTTATTAGTAAGAATTTACCATTGAAATATTATTATTTTTTAGATATTAATGATATCTCAAAATTTTACAAATTTAAATAATAAAACTAATTACAATGACACTAGAGAGAGGTGAAGACTAAGACATTTACATTTACAAAATAAAAGGTTGAATTATATGTCTAAAAGAGGAATTTTATTTCATCATCTAAAGCAATAAAAAATTTTGATTGTGTTTCACTTATACATTTTCAACCCTTAGATCAAATTACTTACGTCATCTTGACCAATTTTTGGTCAAACACACTGTCCATCAATGTTTCCGCTCAAACTTTCACCAATTTCCTCTATCCTTAAAATAAAATCCAAAATTCAAAATTCAAATCCTCTTCAATAATAAATTTGTAATTTATGTACTGACCATCCTATATGTTTGCAAATCAACATAATATATCTTATTAATTATTCTATTAATGTTTGCAAATCAACATGATATATCTTCTTAATTATTCTATTTCTTTCTCAGTGTACTATGTACATCGATGGTACCAAAATTCATCAAGGAAAAACCAGTCACTTTGTATTTAATTCTTATTAATATGGTGAATACTTCCAATTTTGAAAGTAATAATCAGTCTCATACATGTTAAATTATAATTGCTCGATTTCCATGTATCTAACTCAGTAATTATATGTATTTATTCTTAACCTTAACCTTTTTTTATAATGTTATTGATTAAATTTACTATAATTAAGTTTAAATTGCAAAGATTTTTACTTGAAAGTGATGAGCATTAGTTAATGTTTTTATTGAAGCTTGAAGATGATGCAAAACTCTAAATCCCTTGTGGTAATATTCTACATACTTAATAATTGATTATTTTGACAAAAAAAAATATTTTTTTCCATTAACATTGATAACAAATTTGTTGAATTAAGCATATTTTTATGATTATAAATTTGTTTTTCTATTCACTTGTACTTACTATCTTGAAGATGAGAAAAGATTAACCATAGCTATATTGAAAAGTATTAAAAAAATCTTATTGGTCATACCTTTCTGACATGATCTTCAAATACTATTTGCTTCATTCTTTGTTTTTTTATTCGTTTTTGTGTATTTGATTTGTTTCTTCAAGTAACTCAGCTTTCCATTAAATTTGATAACAAAATTGTTGAACTAAACATACTTTTATGATTATAAATTTGTTCATTTTCTATTGTTAAATTGTAACATCCGAAAAATACAACCAATTTAAAATTTTCAAAACAACCCGATTTTCATTAAAATGTTTACAAAAAGGTTTTCAATACAAGTCATTAGAGTATTCCCAGAATCACATTGCTACAAAATCATGAGGAGCGGTACGATCGCGCCTTCGCCTTGCCACAATCTCTTGAAGAACCTGAAAACATTAAACCACAACTGTAAGCTCGAAAGCTTAGTGAGATACCCCCAAATTACCAACCACGTATACGCCCTTCCAGGCTAC